TTCTTGGGGGTGATAGTTACTTGATAAGCGCTTCGGTCATCATTGCATGATTGCATTGCAAGACAAGAGGTTATAATATGCCCTCTGAGCAGCACTACGTCTTCAGGGCAGATTGGAGGCTAGGTAGTTGCTATGGGAACGTGACGAGACGGGCAGAAGCTAGCTGGTTAGCATGCTAACTTCAGTAGAAGAAAAGGAGTGAGAGACAAACGTTAGCAGAAGTTTGATGCTGAACTTTGATGTTTTCTCAAGACTGGTTAGTAGGAATAGCTGTTAATGCTAACACTGGCTATGTAGCAGTAGCAAAATTTACAAATAGCCCCAAATAGTTTAAGGATAAGTGGCAAATTTAGATGATAGGACCTGACAGTACAGCTACAATAGTGTTTAACATAAGCATCATGTTTTAGTGTCTGTCCCTCAGAATCAAAGAATGCTTCTTATACTCAATATGTTGCACCAGTACTGAGAAATATCATCAGTGTAGAGGAAGAGACACCAATTTCTCCACAAAGCGTCAACAATCAATAATGTAATGCTGCCGCAAGGTATTTTGTGTTTTGAGCAAGGGGTTTAACATCTCCTAGGCCTATAAAGCTTCCCTGAGCATGTTTCCCTTTTCTGGATGGAAATGAGAGAAAAGTAGGAAATCATGACCTGGGGTATCATTAAGGCTTTTTAAAAGACAGTGAAGAGTCTTGAATGTGGGCTTTTTGTTTAGTCCACTGATACATTTATGAACATAGAGATACTGTGTGCTTTGTGACAAGGCACTGATTCTGTTATTTTTTTTATTTATTTTTTTTACAGTTTTAGGAACACAGTGTCTACACAATGTTCAAGTGTACACAACTGTATGGCAAATTTTAATGCTTTATCCAGCCATTGGCATGTTGCAGCAGGACGCTGTATTTGTTGTACATTCTGAACTGTTACTTGTATACACATGGCCTGCTCTGCCACCCTCACCTTTGAGGTTTTCCTGCTTTCCGAACTGCAGTTGACTGTATGTGTTTTGTATATCACAGCATTCATTCTCTATTAACTCTTAGACCCAGAGTCTGAAGTGCAAAAAAAATTCCCATGAGGGCAGCTGTCTCTGCAGATGCTGGAACTGGCGCATCTATTGCCAGCAATCACACTGTGTTCAAAGTCATCACCCTCTTGCTATCTGCATGGTTTCTATGAGTCACACCTGTATCATTCACTGTCTGGAGAAGTGAGATTTTGCATAAACAAAACATGGCAAACGTAAATCTTTTATGTATCTGTTATCATGATGAACTGTGTAAATCATGATCTATTACTCAGTGCAGGATGCTAATGGTGTTTCTGTGCTAATATTTGTTTTTTTCATATCTCATTGTTTCAGTCAAGCCCTGCAGGCTTCGCATATGAATTCCATGTGTCATATCTCTACATCTCTGTTGTCTTTGTATCATTAAAATGCGCTTCAAAGAGCATGATCAACAGCTAAATGAGTTTTGAAATGTTCTAAAAAGCAGATGAGGGAAGTATGACAAACAGATTAAATAGCTATAAATGTGAAAAACTGCTTATGACAAAAGTCAGTCCAAAAAAATTGCTTTATTTGTAATAATGCCTTTGAACTATTTTTTTTTAATAATAGGATATATGTTTGGGAAGCTGATCAATGTCAACTGAGCTTTAATTCAAGTGCAGGTCTCTTCAAGTGCATTTAAGATAGCTGAAGAGCTAAAGTGGAGAAAAGAAGGAAATGGAACAACTGAGTTGGAATGTGATTTATTCATTGTGTCCTTGGAGAGAGAGAGACAGGGAGAAAGACTGCAGTACACTGCAAAGTGAGGGAGCTAGTGAACCAGAAAGTTTTTTTTTTTCTCTGTGGCGGTAATCAAAGTATCTTCCCCATGACACGTCCTCCTTCAGCTGTCTGAGTATCCTCTTCTCTCTCTCTTTCTCACACGCACACTCTTTCTCTTCTTCTCTCACGCACACACACATATAACCTCCTTCCCCTCAGTGACAGAGCCCATGTTAGATCAGATTAACTTTCACAGCCACAGGCCCAAAGAGGCAGCAAGCACGAGAAGACAGCCCTATAGTCACACAGCTCAACACATGCAAGAAGTGTGCTGCGACACAGAGGGGGGTGATTAGCTGTCCTCTGCTGGAAAGGAAAATGTGCTCCCCTGCTCCTGTGATTAGACAGTTCTGTTCCCCGTGTCACTGTCTGAATGAAAGGCCTCATCCTAATTGCTTGTTGCCTCTTGTTTTTCTCCCATTCTTTGCAGGACAAACGCTGCCACTGTGACGCCCTCTTTGATAGGTGAGTAAACTAATTCCAGACAATGGTCTCATGAGCATCATGTACTGCAGTGCAGTACAATCCTCGCGCACCACTCCCCCATATTGTCTTGTTCCTGTTTGAAAGTCCAGGCATAACAAAGAATAAAAAAAAACAAAGGAGAGGCAGTGAAGCAAAGGAAGAACAAAAAAGCAATATCCTTTCATGCTTTGTCAGAAATGGGTTGTTTGGATCGTACAGTAGCATTTCATACAGACTGAGTCTGTTCCACAGGACTGGCGCAGTGAATAAATCCTGAATCATAGTGTCTGCATCCAAAAATGAAAGAAAAAAAAAAAAAAAAACCACACTGGTCTTTTGCCATGTTTGTTGGATTTGTTATTTGAGCTGTGGCAGGCTGGATCTCTGGAAGGAGGAATTCATTTAACCACACAATGCAGACCCAGAGACCAGTAAAATGACACAGGCTGTCTGGGCAATCTATTGAGCATTGTGCTGATTTACTGTATATGTGAGAATTTACACTGTGGGAATAGGGTTTAAATGATTAATTGTCTCTTTTATTTGTGCAGATCCTGATGAAAATGTCCTCCCTAAAATACAGTTTTTTAGCTCAAAACCACGGCAAAACAACATCCGTGTGCAGTTTGCTTTGTAAGCAGTTGCTGGTTATAATAATACATTATTGATTGTGTCACAAAGCATCTTATAAAGAGAGAGCGGGAGAAAGATCACATGCCAGATAAAGCTGTCAATGGAGCCCTCAATCAGTGGATGCACAGCAGGAGAGCGAGAGTGAAGCAGATGGTGCTTACTATTGATCCAAAACATGCACACATACTTCCACAGACTAACGGCTCAATATTGGACTATTACAGGGAAAAATTTTCTCTTTGTGCATTTGTCTGCAGGGGGCTGCTCAGGCTACAGATACTCCATTGGCAACATACTGGAGTAAAAGTATGCAGTGTGTTTAACCTGAGCTGAGATGAGCTCCTGAAATTCCTGCAGGCCACAAAAAAAAAAAAAAAAAGTAGTAGAAATGACATTAACACAGACACAGGACCCTTTCTGTACATTTTATTTACAAAATGTATTAAAATTCTCTGTACAGCGCCTCACTAATGAGGTTCAGCAAATTATGCATGCATCTCTTGCTCTTTTGTACCCACTACTATGCCCGGCGATTTTTGTCTTTGCAGAAGGTGAGGTGTACAAAAAAGAAGGAGGTGAAACGGAGTTACAAAAGAAGAACCAGGGCTGGATTTCTAACATTAAACCTAAGGTCAGTTTGTGAGTAGCAGAGCTCATCAAGCATCACTGATTTCACATGCAATTTCTTAGAAAAAAACCCAAAACCAAAACCAAAACAAAAACAAACAAAAAAAAGAAGAAAAAGGGGAAACCAATCTTTCATCATGTAATATAAATAGTTCTCATTTATCTAAATGTACACATTTCTCAAGTTATTCTTTCTTTTTCTTCACATATCAGTTTCTTTTTTCATATAAAACTATCTGCCCATAGTTTCAGGTGATTAGATAAGTATCTTCCTAAATCCTATGGAATCACAGTCTTTTTGAAAGAAAAGAAATTATTACAGCAATATGGAAATGTGCTAAGCTTCAGGTCTTTCCCTGGTATAACCTTGTATAAATCTATTTTCTGTTGTATTCATATATTTTTCATTTTCATTTACTAAGTGAAGTCACCAAACACGGTAATGCTCATTAAAGGAAATCAAATTAAAAGCAAACCACAGCTCATCGTAAAATGTGCAATTGTGAAAGAAAACAGTAAGGTAATCCAAAATACTACAGTTTAAAAGCCATTACTGTTATCCTTTAATTGGATTGCAGTTAATCTACAATTGAATTACCCTTTTTGTTTGGTTTTACTTTCATGTACAGAAGACTTGAATGACTCTAAACTCCAGGGAAAGACTGTTTGGAGCAGCAAACCTTCGCGAGTCAGTGCTCCTTTGATATTTTACAAACTGTAAATCACAAACAGTGTTTTTTTTTCTTTTTTTTTTTTCTTTTTTTTTTAAATCAAGCATGAATTCTTTGCTTTACACACTTTTTGTCATACAAAACACACTCTTGGCAGTATTGGAAGTGCGAATTATGACCTGGTTCTGTAGTGCGTAGGAGCCAAACCAGATCATCTTCTCATCTTCTCGAGTCCCATCAAACGTTCAGAAGACAGTGGCAGCAGCACCAGAGTTTAGAGTACAAACATCACACTCATCATTGTTTTGGGCTGAATGGCATTTTACTCCAATAAGATCAATCTGTCTTTTAAAACAAGTCCAAGGTCACCATAAGTGACTTACAGCAGTATAAAAGCTATTCTCTAATAACCAGTGTCTTACACTGCACAGCGTAGATCTAATAAACTTATTTGAACACATAGAACCAGTGAAAACCTGGCAGAAGAAGGATGAAGAGTAATCTGATCATACTGATTACAAGAAAACCAATTAGACACTTGTCATATAAGATTTGTCGTCTGTCTGGCACTTCAAAATGTGCTTAGGGTTGCAAATGATGGCTTTAGTTCTCTCATTCATTGTAACATGTCAAATGTATTATATGTAGAGATATATATTCTTTTTTTTATCACTGCACCATTCTTCTGTTTTGTATGAGTTTCAAGCAAAAAGCAATATCATTGTGAATGAGTTGCATTGATTGGACTCAGAGTTCCATAAGGCACTGAGAGGAGGGAACCGCATCGGTTCTTCCCATGACCAGTCCAGTTCAGTCGTGTCGTCTTTGCAGATTATCGTGCCGTGTCCGCGCCAGAGGATTTGGCTTGGAGCTCAATCCCCGTGATCCTGTCTTTTCATAGTCACAGTTGTAAGGGACAATGCAAATGTTTCCTAAACCTGTGTCAACATACAGAGCAAAAGCAAACACGGGAAGAATTGAGGTTTATGCGACTGCCAGGAAGAACTCACATCTTCATACTGGGTGATTCATGTCGGGTGAAAATATGTGACTGTGAATTAAAAAAGTCAGTGTAAAAACGAATAAAGAACAGTGAATGTGGTGATTCTGTTCGGCTTAAGTTGAGGGACAACATATTTTTACTCTTTTATCTTTTTAAAGTGCCTGAAAGCATGGTCTCAAATCTTGACTTTTTCTAAGTAACACAATTATTTAAGATTAAATTCGCAACAATCAAATTAACGTTCAGTACTGTATTTAATAAAAGTTTAACACGCAAAAACTCAGCTAATCTGCTTCATCAGAACTGTGTGGGTGTGATTTGATTAGATTTGATTGATAGCAACATAAGCAAACAACCAACCCACTGTCATCAGATTCTGACTATTTATGTGACATTACTTTTTTCCAACCGCGCCCCGCCCACTTCAAACCCGTGAGAAGAGCACAAATAACACAAACACAGAAGTCTCTCATGTCAATAATAAAAACTTTTCTACTTTGGCACAAAATCGCGTGTCAGAAGTTAATTGAGAAAATATGTTTTCAGGGCCTTTAAATTCTATTGCTGTTGTACAGCTGTACTTCTGTAAACAGACTTGTCGCACTTTGAGTTTAACGGGAAGCAGCAGCACAAACATGCAATCAATCCAATCAAACACAAGACTAGCAGTTTATTTATTGATGGTATGCGCCCCTTTGTGTAGTGCAAAGTTGTAGTAGAATTGCTGTATAAAGCTATTTTGCGAATTCCCAGTTAACTAGTGGTATTAAGTGGTAAATGAGCTTCCTGTGGAACTACTACAGAATAAATAGTCCCTGGGCTCTGTAGCAATGCTGTGTTTACAGCTTGTTCCGCTGCCACCAAGCGGCCACAAAAAAAACAAAACAAAAAACAAAAAACAAAATTAATGCTGCTTAAAATGTCACTTTTAATGAGGTGAGCACCACTGAATTCTTTCTTTTATAATTTGGGAGAGCAGACCTTTTAAAAAGTCTTATTTTACACAACATGCTAAATGCTAAATTCTTCCGCTATATAAAATAGCCCTGCACAGCAGTTTGTTGACACTGCACAAAGCAAGAGCTTCAAGATCAAGCGTTCTTGCCCTCATGTAGCCTGAAGCACTATCCATGAAGCCATACCTTACAAGGCACAAACAACATCTCCTAGTTTTGTGTTTGAGTGGGCATGCGTGTTCTGTTGAGTCCAACATGACAACCATAAACAATTTCACAAGCAACAGCCGCTACGCAGCAACACATACAAATGAATAATTTACTCTTTAACTGATATGACAGGAAGCTAAATGATTAATCTCTCGCGGTGCTCGGGGAATTGTGTGGACAGAAGAAGAGAAGCGCCGTACCTCTAGATCTTAACACTCTCGGTTCCGTATACGTTGTAGCCTTCTCTGTATGTGGCAAAGTTCTGGGTGTTGGTCGGGGGAGCCGGCTTAAAATTCTGGGCATTCTTGGCCAATTTCAGCCGTTTGGTTTCTTGTCGTGATTTATAACAGAACTCTATCAGAGCCACCATCATGGCCAGCCCCAGCCCTCCAACCAGAATATAGAAGACACCAGCCACATTGCTTAGGCTGAGAGCACTTGTCTTGTCCTGGGGGAAAGTGAATAACATAGTTAAGAGTTTTGCAGTGGAGGAAGGACAACAGAACAAAATGCAGCCTGTATCCTTCAAACTGAGCCTTACATAGCCTTGACGTTCAACAGTATAACTGCTTTAGTAAATCATCATACTCTATCTTACTGAGGCTATAGGTTATGGATACTAACAGCTACAAGCAACGAAAAAAATTTACGATGTCATGAGTTGCTAAGGCTATAATTTTGACTGAACTGATTTTCCTATGGTTGTCACAAAGTTACGAGGAACTTCAGACTGCCATAGTCAAACCATTCTCCACTAAGGAGAAAGAAGCCAACTCTTAATGCTCTATCTGCTGGTGAATGTAGAGGTTAACGCTTCCCTACGCTACATCTATGTCAAATGGCTTCTGCTCTTGACCATGTTAGGAAGCTGGTCAGTATCGCATAGGTCGACAGCTCTGAAAGTCCCTATCTTTTTTCATCCTCTTAGAGACATGTACGTATAACTCTCATGGCAACATTGTCATACAGTACAGTCAAATTCATAGTAGATGAATGATAGCTCCATTAAAGTTAAAAAAAGCACTAAAGATCAAACCATTTTGCTGCTGCTTACCTACCAAACATATTCATTAAAAATTTGTTCATTAGAGTTTTACTATTTGCAGTTTAACCCTATGAGCATGGCGATATCATAAAGCTATCTACGACCCTAACCTGTGATCTGAGGCTTTGACTATATCTCAGAGGGTTAAATAGTGGGTTTATTACATTCCTCAACTTCTTGTAATGTGCAAACAGAGCCTCTAACCTCAACTCCGAGCAGCCACAAGATTTGGAGGACACCCTACGGCGCTCTCGCCGCTTAGAGAAGTTGAATTTGAGTAACTCATCACAATAAGAGGCTTTGCTTGTTCGTCACACCACAGGAGGCCAAAGAATCTAATAGACACATCTTGATGCAAACTAGTAACAACACAAATAAATCAAATTTTCATTAACAGTTTGGTAAATAGAAACAGCAGCATAATGGTCAGAGTATCATGAATGTCAAGAGTGAAAATGAGCAAAAATAGCATTTATCAACAACTGTTAACTGCTGTGATTCAGCTGAAATTGTGTAACTGAAAGGCACTTTGGCAATTTCCCCTCAGCATTATCATTACAGTTGTCACAAAAAAGAGTTTCTACATTTTATATTGCATTAAAAAGTGACTCATTTCTATGGCATAAAAGAAAAAAAATGAATTTGGGGAAGCAGTGCCATGTGTTAACGCCACATAGAAACTGTGTTACAGTCGGTGGCAGAAAAACTCAAATACTAAAAAAAGAAAAAATATGTGTAGCAAATAAACAAAATGTACACTATAGATGTTAGAGAAGTTTTGTCTTGCATATGAACAGTACGTCAAAATGCAATTTGGAATCAGTACAAAAGACCTGCAGCGACTGACCTTACTTCCAGAGTCCTTGGTTCCACATTCACCCTTATCGTACCACCATTTGTTTTTCAGCTTGTCTAAGATGCCTTGTTCACTGAGTTTCAATACTGCAAGGTTTACAGGAGTTCTTCACGTGGGAAATAACATAAATAACATTATATTATGTTATTTTATGTTATTCAACTTTTAAACTACTACATACTTTACAAAGCGATAAAGCAGGGCTCCTGGCTATGTCAACATCACAGAGAGCAGGCATTCTACCTATTACCTTTATAACCCCTAGTCTAAAGCCAGGGCCTACCCATATCGCTTTGAGTAATCGGCAGACGCTGTTAGCAGGGCGACGAGCAGGTACTCAAAAGTACAATCTGCAAGTCTATCAACACCAAAAGGTACAGGTTACATTGGTTTGGGGGCAGGTACTGGATCACAGGGGCGTTCCGAACAGCATTTAACAAGTTCAGTCCAACAGGAGCTTCGTCTTAACAAACAGAAAACACTACCTTTAAGTTTCCACAATATCAGCTTAATCCTGCGATTGCTAATACTTCTGGCACTACAATGACAACAATGAATTTTTGGAGGCATTAGAACCAATTTCATATTTGCCCAAAAGTGAGAGTGTAATTAATTCCTAAGTGTTCTATCCCGACATATTGCTAAGAAAACCTTATCTCCCAATTATGCCAGATTAGTGTCAGATGAGTGTGTCCAAACCAAACTGCACAGAGCTGCAGGACTGAGCTCAAAAGTATCAGCGGAATAATTCCTCTCATATTTGCCCCTCGTTGCACAACCAAGTCTGACACAGCTGTTTCCTTCTGTTTGATATGTGTAAGAGTTATATCACGACCTCCAAATACTGCATGTCAACATAAATGATCATAATATTCTATTGCACTACATTACTTCAAAAAGAAAAAAGAAAAAAAAGAAAGAAACACAATTGTAAAGCTGGACAAAGATGATTCGTAGTCATAATGTAATAGTGGATCATTTGCGGTTCAGGTCAATCCCTCTGTGAAAGTGAAAAGCAAATTGGAAGCAAAGAAAAATAGAGCATCAATAAATGAGTGACCTGACTACTCCCTAGGAACAATGTCCCCCAAGGGGATCCATGCAATGCATAATGCACTGAGAGAAGATTACACCACTGTATATCCCTCATAGCCAATCTGGAGAAACGGACTGTGAAGACCAGACCATTGTCTTGGCTCAGAGAGACATTGATTAACAATGCAATTACCCTGTAACATGCTCTGTGTCTGAAACTCAATCTGGGCTGCACTGTGTTGTGCCTGGGGGCAAGAAAGAGCTGTGTTAACTGTGTGTGAGTGGGTGTGTATGCAGCCATGTGCATGATAATGTGCATCTCCTGTTGTCTGTTGGAGCATGGAGCTGTGAGCCGGACGGGGCCAAGTGATGCACTGTTTGGAACAAGAGCGCTCCAGGCAGCTTTAGTCCACCAAATCGGGCCTTTCCACTGAGTCCTGGAGAGCCAAGACAAGCCAGGAAACAGACAGACAGTACATACCTGTGCGTGATGGCAGCACAAGAGACAGATACTTTCAAATGGCTCCTGAGCATGCTCTGAGTAGCACAGGGAGGCCTCCTGAACTCAGTGTCTACAGAACATGGACAATGTTAGCAATGCAAACAGAAAAAAATTCCTTTTAAGAAATGAACCCCAGGCATTTAGTGGGACATTATTTGGTCTGTGCCTCGTGTAGCCTCTCATGGTGATGCTATTTTAACAAAGTCACTGCAGCTTAACTGTTCACTGTGATCCAGGCCAATCTATGACAAATGACACTAAGGGTGTAATTATATAATCTGCGGTCCACGGGACCTTGCAGCTTGTGTGTAATCTAGCCAGTTATCTGACCTATATCATCACATGTGTGCTGACAGCGTCATTTGTCATTAAACTGACCTGCAATGTAAAGAATATAATGCTACTGCCTTATACGTTCTTTAGTGAAAATAGCACAATGCTTCATGTCACATAATCTAAGTAACATTACACTAAGTTGTCACGGGTGAGTGGGGTTTCACACTCGGAACCATTAGCTCCCATAATGGAAAAATCATTCATCATCTAACCAGAGAAGAAGAGGGAGAGATCTGGTCAAAAGGGTCACAGCAGGGTTATTAATGGGGTAGGAAGTGCATGTAGTGGAATCAAACCACAGGTGGTTTATCAGATGACCCATTATAAATGAATCATGAGTCTTTTGTTTAATTAGAATTCTCACGTTTGCCTGCAATGCTTAGTCCCCTCAAGACGCCGCTGTTCCCCTTGCTTTCCTGTCGGCCTCGGCTGAGCAGCCATTTTGAGGTTATTGCCGTTAAGGAGAATTTATCGTGTTGGCTTTAGAGCTCATGGGTTCTGGGCCAGTGTCATGGATGTGAAGCAGCTGTGCGGCGAAGTACTGCAAAGCCATCTCTTACAGGATTAGCAAACTTCACCTTCATGAGGGACGGCTGGAGGTTTTCGGTCTTTTCCATGCATGAAACATTCTCTGCCAAACTACGTTGAATCACATGTGTGTGACTTTATTAAGTAATATCTCACACTACCAAAGGTGCCTTACAACTGAGACTAGGTGATCTGCCCTACAGGTGTGTAAGGATGGATAAACAAAGCTCAACCTTTCACAACTGCAGGGCAGCCACATTCCCTTTACCATCAAACACTAAAAAAAAACTCCCTTATTAATTCTTATTTGCACTAAATCTACGTCTATGAACATTACAATCTCTATAACCACAAATAATAGTTTTCTGTTGGCTAAGCGAGGGCTCCTTAGTTCGATCTGAGCTGTTAAACCGTCTGGTCGGACTATCAGTTAATTTGGTAATCTGCCTTGAGGCAGCAGCAGGTTGGCTGGGACGGACAGTTGGTTTGGTTATGGTTGGGTTGTTGTAACAGCCTTGCCGATTACTCTGCACTATGGTACCCGATTGTGGTGACATCGAGGCTGACCTTGGAGTCACCTCCCCCGCTGCCGCACTCTCCCTTGTCGTACCACCATTTGTTTTTCAATTTGTCCAAGAGGCCTTGCTCATTCAGTTTTAAAACTGCCAGGTTAACAGCATTTCTTGAAACGATAAAACATAACTTGTAAGAAAATGCACAGGTCCGTGAGAAATCTAATGCAAAGTAATAATTATACTAAGCATCATAATGATAGGTAATGGTAGTGAGACTACCACTGTCAAAGCAGGGGCTTATGCACAGAATACTATCTGTTAATCAGAATGGTCCAGGAAAGGACAAATTGTTTAAGAATTTAAGGAATATGGAGAGATAAGAAAGGCTCATATAAGGTAAAGACAGTGTTAAATCTTGGAAAAGGTGGCATGAAGGGTTACGTAGTTTAGAACTGAAGTGTGCGGGATGGGGACACTTGTCATTGAGAAGAAAAGTAACAACAACAAACATCATGCAATTAACATTCGTCACAAGTGACAGCGCAGCTTTTAAAGGCTAAATTGAAAAACCATTGAACTGTTAAATTAAAAGTGACAACACAACAGTCAGGTAGGACAGCACACGGGACAGAAGGAGAGATCGAAGGAGAGAGAGAAGCAACAGTAAGAGAGACATAAATATGAAATGATTGTTAGCTTTAGCCTTATTATCTGGATTTGATTCCTCTACTGTAAAAATAGCAACTCTTAACACATATATAAAAATATTTCTAAAAACATGAACTATCATTATATAACCTTGGTATCCAAGTGCACTGAAAGGCATACTACCGTTACCTCTGTGTCCATTAAAAAAAAACAAGAAGAGGAAGAGAAGAGAATGACAACAGGGGGACATCAGGGTAGGTGGAATACTATAACAACATGGAGGATATTGTTATATTATTCCACCCACCTTAATGCTGAGCCTTTGGGCGTCGCCACACCGTAGCCTTTCGAGTCGAGGTTCCCGCCCACTTTCATGGTGTCGCACGGCTTCCGTTGCTCGATGTACTCGTTCATGGTGGACTCGAGGAGAAAGGCGAACTTGCCCTTTGACTTTCGTACCCGGGCTACGCCATCGGGTGTGGTCTTAACAAACACTGAGGGTTCAGCGGATTTCATGTATGACCACATCTTCTCATATACTGCTATTTTGGATCGCTGTGCAGAGAAGAAAAAGAGAGAAGTAGTTTAGTAACCCAAATGTTATAATTGTTCAATGGAGTCTGTAGGATTTTTGTGCTTAATGATCACTTCATTTAAATTGGCATCATGAAGTATTTATAGACATCTTCGGAAGCAGTACTGTGATATCTTTAAATACTTCCACAAAATATAGCTGGTGGACTTTTATAAGATCATGAAGTACAAGAATTTACAAAATCCATTTCTCTTCATCAGTATAAATGTGCACTTTGAATATTATGTTGCAGCTTGAAGCTCAAATTCAGTGTAAATGAGGATCACACATCACCTATACAGCAAGTAATGCCATGCAAACTGGATTTTAGCAGAAATACTGGCATTTGTGGACTTGATTATGCAAAAATATGTTCAATAATTTAACTTCAGTGACAGTGAATTGCAGGTAATGGCATTTACAGGGAAAAAGTTTTGGATCGGTTTGTTGAAAATTCAGTCTCAGTGAATTTGAGCCTTGGTTTATAGGCCTAATTTAACTTGTAGAACTTATTACAGACATTCATTTCAACAACACTGTCCTTAATGTAACATCTCAACTGAGACTCAGAGGCAATGTGCAGAAGAAGCAATAGAAGTGAACAAGAAAGCGGGTTACACATCCACAAGGCGACGCATCACAAAGTGACACAGATGAGCATTTTCCCAGCGCCTGGGGTCAGGCTTAGTCAGCCTGTGAAATCAGGGGGAGTTGAGCCCTATCTATAATAAGCATCAATTAAATTATTCAATGCCGCTGGATTTATTTTGGCATAGGCATTTCATACTCTGAACAGATCCTGGTCCAAGCAGTGATGAGCCAGTTCCTGAGTGGCACTGTGCGGACTACTGAAGACTGGATCCCACATAAAAAAAAATATGCTTCCTTTTAGTAAAGGCCAGAGAAAGACGAAGGGGTTGGATGGTTTTCAAGAACCGGCTGAATCAAAAGATCTACTGTCAGGCAAAGGGTTTGTGAATGGAATATGGACGAGCTGTTGATATACCAACATCTGTCTGAGATACTTCCCTATGGCTTCTTTTTTTTAATCTCACATGGTCACAAGTCATGTAGCAATAGTGCTGAAATGATTGTTTGATACAACTTTGATGTTCAAATAATTGTTTGAGCCATTTATCAGGCAACAAGACTGTCTACAGCCCTGCTAGTGGCTCTGTAAGGCTTTACTTAGTGGTGCTTTGAGTTAAATGCTGATGGCAGCACGCTAAGATAATAATGTTTAGAAGGTATAATGTACTATTTTTTACCATCTTAGAATGTCACTCATTTGGCAGGTATTTGTTCATAACTCAAGTATTGGAAAAAAATAAAAATTTAACCTGCTTTTTAGTCACACCACTGGTATTTTTAGCTAGCGAGTGTGGCTAAAATTTGGTGCCTTCAGCTTCTCAGATGTTTTCTCTGTGATTCTCCATATCATAACAGAGTACATGTTATGTCTCTGGATTTTGTGGATGTTTGTTGGTTTGTTGGTAGCTTGGCCTCTGGAAAATTGGAATGGTTATTTTTCACCGTGTTCTGACATTTTATAAATTGTGTTCAAGTATAAATATAAATGCCGAGCCCTGTGGCTTTGAATGTCCAAACATACTGATTAGTAAACAGACTCATCACTCCCTTGAATGGGTGAAAGCCCCCTCAATAAGAACATATCCATCTCTAATGCTTTTCTATTAATATACAAATGAATTAACCTTGACCTAGTGAAAGTGCTTCACTGGCTTTATGTAATCATATACAATTTGTTGGTAGGCATCTGTCACAGAGCATCAGGCCAAGGGTGAGGATGAGATAAGACAGCTGCATAAAAAAATTAAAAAGTCTGCATGATGAATGTTCCCGGCTCAGATGAAAAATCCTTGAAGTTGGGGCGATGGTTGTTCCATTTTAATGCTAATACAACGGACAGGATGGAGGAAGGGGACAGTTAGAGATAGATGTGATGTTTTTGTTTACAATCTTGTTAAATGTGTTCATCATGGAAAGGACACTAGTTTGGAGGACAATTCCCCTAAAGGCCTGTGGCTCATCTGCTCGGCTGTGGGAAAGCTCTAGACGCCTCCTCAAATGAAGAGAAAAGAATGGATCTGGGCATTGATTACTGACGACAGAGTGTGCTGCCTCAGTGCTTTATGAAGTCAATTGATCAATATCAGAGCGGGGACGAAGTGCGACCAAAACCTAAATAGGCCGATTCTAGTGCAACTAAAGTCACCGGCGAGATGCTTAAAGCAGATTCTGACAAAGAGAGAGAAAAAAACAAGATACAGAGAGAAAGCCCAGCAGGGGAAAAGATATATTTGATTATTGACCGCCAGCACACAAATGTGCATACTCACAGAAATACAGACACACACACGCCTACAGTACACACACACGGACACCCCATAATGTATTGAAAGTCTACTCTCATCTCTTTTAAAATGTAATCATTCACATTCTGGTCTGTGGTGGTCATTTAAAATTCAATTACGGAATAATGACTGGGAAAGTCCATCATCAATGAAAAGACAATTTGTTGAGTGATTATATACTGCCATAAACACAGCTTCATACATGTGGCTCTCCTTCACACCATATAACGGCCCTGTTAGCACAGGCTGCTGTATTCTAAATGAGCTTCCAGACAATTATCAAGGAGCAGTTTCATTTATAAAAGGCAAACACGACTTTATGCTGGGGAACTTGAAAACGGCATAGCCCTCCTCCTCTAAGTGTCTTCACATTATACTAAAGCAGTCATAATGTTGCTCTATTCATAATGAAGTACCCAAATAGCTGATCTCAGCCAAGCCTCCTACCTAGGCGACACAGTTACATCATCTGTGTAGGTGTTCCTCCTGCAAATCTGTCTGAAGCAGAGAGCTTCCTGCTGTCTCGTAATAGTCATAAAGACAAACACAGGTCTCTTGTTCCAGCCTGGTGACCTAAGATGAGGAATGAAGAGAACAGGACTTGCCTTCAGCAAGAGGACGTTTACGCCAGAGGAAAACTGGTGGGGGTTTATTATTCTTCCAGGGAGAAGTCTTTGAATCACCACATCCAAATCACACGCAGATATGAATAGACGTGCACTCAGGCACACTAATGCGCGAAGATACAGATGAAGGTTCCCTTAGAGCAGGGGTCAGTTGGAGAAACCTGCAACAACTGATTTTCTTTTGGCTACTTGGGGCAGCATACTGTAAACTCGCTGTGAACACAACTCTGACATATTATTTATCACCTTTAAAATTGATATGGCTAACGTGTTAGCTAACAGTGGGCTATTTAAACATCCAGCAGACATGGAGCAGCATTATAGAGTGTATTTTATTATCAATATGAGTTTAATATTCACTCTCTTTTAGCTCTGCTTAAGTCTCCACCAACTCCTGAGGGAAACATTGCGCTCTTTAGCTGTGAAATGAAATGTGTTACCACCCCACCAGCTAGAAGCTAATCTTTTGTTAGAGCTTTTGCCCTGAAAACAGCTGCCTGCAGCCGTTGAAAATGACACTATGAGAGTAAAATTTATTTATACAAGTATTAGGATTCTGTGTGCGGGCAGATGTCATCCGTCACAGTAGAATTTAAGCGCCAACGCTCGCGATTTACTTGCTAGCTTACCAAAGACACAATTAGTCGTGGTCTGCTTTAGTTATGTTTTTTTTTTTTGTTAAGCCTCGGAACAAAAAAATGATCAGCATGTCATTTCTTTTAGACTGACACCTACAGTATTTGTGTTGTGAGGCACAAATCTGTTATCGTCAAATATGCTAAAGCCATGAAATTTAAAGAGTTTGAACTCAGCTACTGGCTACTGCTGCCTTAGCATTACTCTCTGACAGGCAACCTCTGGCATGCAGGCGATCTATCGGCAATCTAAAGATGAAATGCTTATATTAAAATTATTAATCTTGTGAGACACTAATGGGGATAGAAGGAGATGGACATGAGGGATTTGCTTGTGTATTTTCAAAGATCATTAGTAAATGTATCGTTTGGAGATTTTGTTGTTCCAGTAATCAACAACGCCATTAAAATGTCTGAGAAGGGACAAGTGATTAAAGTCCAAAGTCAAAGAAATTGCCCTCTCCATTCTAAATAACCACTTAATCCGTATTGATTCAGAGTTGCGCAGCATTTCTAGGCCTCTGTCCACTGCCCTTCGAACTGCAGTCTGTTTTTTTTTTTTTTTATTCTTCCTTTGGCATCATGGGCTGCTTTCATTATGGCCGCTCCACTGCTTGTACATCTAAATGCCATCTCCAAACACCCACCACTACATTTCCTTCCTTCCTTTACTTCCCTTGCATTTTGTTTGTGGACATCACCACTTTCCCCCCCAATATCCTGTATGCCAGGGCTACCTGTATCTCAAGTATGCAGAAATGAAAGTTGAGGCTCTGTGGGTGTACTTTGTCATTGAAGTGTCACATGCTACGCCCTGCATACCAATTGCTCCTCTTTGATGCTTTTGCTGGACTCCAATAGCTCCTCTCGCACCTGCTGTTGCTACTCATCTAAAGTTCGACAAGGCCCTCTGAGGACAGTGCTTTCCCTCAGAGGTTACGCCTATCTCGCACAATTCTATCATCACTTTTGTCAGCTTTCCCTTTTATGCAAACAGGCTCTAATCTTTATAGGAGCCTCCCCTTCGCACAGCACTGTACCGAAACACAAAGTGACAAGAGCTCGGGGAGTTGTGCCACAATGTGTTGCATATGATTGCAGGGCGACCTAAAGATTTCTTGTATAAATCTCCTTGCTGCCCCCTCTTCGTGCTACCCTGGCTAAATGCAGGTCTTCTCCGCATAAAAAAAGCTACTTAATAAACCTTGTGCTGGACCATGCCGAAGCTATAGAGTGTCTGAGCCGCAATAGCTGAGACATGAAATTGATTTTCATGCATAGTAAAATGCACTGGTGACTGCACTCAAGCTGTTGTTCCGAGTCTCCACCACACCTGCAGATCACTAAGATGCATGATGTTTGCTGCTGAGGCTCTGGGTAATGTATAATCTTCTGAGGGGAAGAGAAAACAATGCTGTGGTCTCATTTCTCTGCGCAATTATCATTCCTTCATTGTTACGCTGTTAAATGAGGTGCATGAAGGGACAGCAGTGTGGTTGTCTTTGATGGTCTCACCCCAGTCTTTACACGTAATTAAACAGCCACATCAGCCCATTTTATCATCTCAGCCATTATTATGATCCGACTTCTCCTTCGATGTATATTCTAAAATGTAACTGAGCCAAGCCTTTTGATGGAATAAAACCTCATCAAGAGGATAAACATGGCCTCTCTGGTTCAACTCATCATTTTCTAATCATACAAAACACAAATATTCAACTGACTGCGTGAAAAGATCCATGACAGGTATTAAAATGATGAAACAAACCACAGTGGTGCAGTGGTGCATGACAGCTGCTATGCTGAGGAAGAGCAACACAAAGCTTGAAGCTATCCCACATTGTCTCAAGGTAAAGCAACAGACAGGCTGGAGACAGAGGAGAGAAGAGGGTGCCCAAACAAGCAGGGTAGTCTGGGGAAGAGGAGCCAAGAGCGGGCAGAGCCGCACTGCCAAGCGCCTAGAGCCATACAGGCTTCCGCTGGGCACGTCAACGGGCTCCCAGGCCAGCTGTCCTAGTTGGTTGTGAACAGCAGATTCGGGGCTTTCTGAGGGATTTGAACTAACACCACTGTCTTTGAAAATTCCTCTACAGCTTCTCTTCATTCCCACCCCCAAATGAAGACACACATGGTGATGTGAATACTGTCACTGTCAGGTAATAAGCCATATGTCCAAACTGTCAGTTTTTTCAGCAGAGAAGAAAAACAGCCTCGGAAGAATGTCTTCACAGAAGACAATCAGATAATTTACCCGATTTCAAAACATGAAAACCAAGGTGAGGGTTTTGTAGCTCATTATTACAAGCCTTAGACTTTATCTTATTTTTTCCCCGTCTGTGCAGAAAGGGAGCAAAACCTTTTTTTTTTTTCCAAATGCACATCCTTACTGAGCTTGTTCTTCTTGTCAGGTAGCTTTGTAAAATAAACCAGGTGAAATCATGAAAAATTAAAGACCAAGGGTGTCAGAGATGATGGCATATGTCTTGTCTGAAACATTGGACTTGATTTAAAATTTCCAGCTGGCTGATGCCGTATGGGTCTAATTAAGCCTGAATGTATTTCCTGAAAAACAGATCTGAAATAGAACTTGAACTCCTATTAATCAGTGTGTTTTTTTCCTTGTCAGCCCTCTACAGCTTTAATTAAAAGTCCCTTGGAATAGCGGTTCACACATGTCATTTCCTATTTGAAGACTTGGGGATGTAAGTAGGACACTCATTACACAGAATACAGGAAAACTGAGACTCCCTGACCACCTCTTAGATTGTTCTACCAGCAGACCTTAGGTGGCTCCTTTGTCAGACTGGAAACCTGGAAATCTGTAATTGGCATCCATCATGTCTGTGACACAAAGATATACACTGTATATATACCTGCGCAGCAACTCTGATGAAAGGGAAAGTGATGACAGGCTTTGTGAGGTGTTCTATGGAGAAGAGAAGTGTTGCTGTCATGTGTCATGTGCCATGTTTCCCGGGATGTATGATCCTCTCAGTATACAGCCTTTTACAACCAGCTCCTAACAGTTTACAGACTTCGAAACAAAAGGGTTTTTAATATCAAGCTTTGAAGACACTATCTTGTCCTTCTTTGTCTAAAAAAAACATGGATTTGATTTTGCGTTTTGTTGTTCTGAGCGACTCAACCCAGGGGTAATACAAATGAATTGCTCTTTCTGCCAACAGGCTGCAGCTGTGAAACATATGAATTGTTTCTCTCCTGCTGATGAGTAATGAGGGAGCGTAAGATAAAAAGACTGTCATATTGCCTTTTCGTCATCACAGGCAGAGTGCAGTTTCATTAATTTCTTTTTCAACTTATTGCTCTGCAAATGCAAAGGATTGGACTGTCGATGTATCCACGCCACAAGCCGCATTTCACAGCGGAAGGTTGATCTGCATTAAAGATATGCAGCGCTGTTTAACTCCTGCATGCGGTCGCCTTTCAGAGACTAATATACTTTCGCTTCAGATTTTAGTTAATTTATGACTTAATTGCCAAGCTAGTCCCTCATGCCGACGGACATATTGCATATTCCATCTGAACCATCTTTCAGACTGCTCTGTTTGACCTACAGGGCTCTTCCTCATCAGGTCCAATTTGCCAGCTATGGCCGGCTAGCTAATTATATTTCATGAGCTGACCCTTCTGAGTTTGAGCCTGATGTGGGCGCTTTGATTAGCCTCCTGTTTTTATCACCTCTGAGTCTTCCACGTTGTTATCGCACTTTCTGCTGACAGCCCCGGTGCCTCAAGGTTGCACACTGCAGTACTGCAGCATAAATTTCACGTTCATGTCATAAGAGTTCAAGATCTGCTTCTCTGTCAACATGCCTCATTTGGAGCAATCTTGTGCAGGTCAGGAGTGCTGCACTAAAGGTACACAATGGAAAAGCTGCAAGGCGGAGTTTATCAAGGACACAGAGCGGTTCTTATGATTCAACATGCCTGAGTGCAAAAATGTTTAGGCTTTTGCATTGTTTGCCATTTGAACTGAAAGCACAGGAGCCACTGGCTGATTAGTCAGGTTGCTGAGTGTGTGAAACAGTATGTTGGCACCACTCACCCTAAAAAACTCTTTTGTGGAGCCTGAGTCCAGAGTGCCATATGCTATCTCTGTCTGCTTGGCCAGGTCTTCGGCACTTTCTATAGGAGAGACCATCCTCTCCACTGTCAAGAAGGCAGCCAGGTTGGCTGTGTAGGAGGAGATGATGATGAGGGTGAAGAACCACCACACACCACCGACGATACGGCCCGACAGAGACCTGCCAGAAAGACGTTGATGACAGGGAAAACGCAGAATGTAATTACACAGTGACATGTGGCGCCTATCAAACCGCTAAGATCTACCAGTTGTGTTTACCTAATTGCATCAGTCATCAGAATTTCCTTGTAAATCGTTAAAACAACCTGATACTGTGTCAGCACTCTCAAACAGCTCATTTCCGAGGAAAATAGCAGCAGTTGTTTAAAATGTACTCTAACCCAAGTCTGTAATTGGCTGTGAAACAATGAGGGTCAAAGATCATTTCATAGCCTGAAGATAGTATTGATGAAACCATTTTGTTGATGATAATTTCAGCATTGAAACTGACAAACTCAATTACACATACAATATAATAGCTGCACTAAATGTGAAATGATTATAGCTTCAAATAACGAACACCTAAAGGAAGAGGATAATTAATGTTGCTTGAGTGATTGAGTGAATCTGTGTACTTTTAACTTCATCTCATCAAATCTCTTTCTATTAATTCAGTATTAACTTCTTTCTCTGTTCTGCTCTGCTGTCCAATCCTGGTTTCTATTGGAGCTGACCCACCTGGGGGAGATGTCACAGCCCTGCTGCATGAAGGCGCCCAGTGAGAACCAGAGGGAATTGAAGATGCCAAAGTCATTGGGAGGATCGGGGGGAGTCTGGGGGTCTTTGGTCTCGTCCTGTTCCTCGAGATTCCACTCGTAAGGACTGAACCGACTGACCAGGAACAGGACCACGCTCACCCCAATATAGGCAAACACTATACACATCCAGATCTCATAGGCCAGCGGGTCCAGGAAGGAGAAAACGCCGGGCTTGGACTTTTGGGGCTTCTTTATCATAATGGAGATGCCCAAGCTCATAAATGGCTTGGAAAAGTCTATCACCTCCTCTCGAACCAGAGTAATGGTGAGAGGTGCAACAGCTATATCTGCTCTCTGGAAACAGGGACATGCACAGTGAGCATTAGTTACGACCTGCATTAAGAAAAAGTCATTTTAAATGTATGTGTGAATAACTGGAGCTGGAGAGGGAGCTTAAAACAATGTTATCATCACACATTTTACATATGATCATAAGAAATAAGCCTCTGACTATGATGCTTGAGGGCAGCCTGAAAAGAAAACACACACGCAGGAAAAAAGCAGAGTAGCATTTGCACAGTGTTATGACCTGGGATGGCAGCTAATACATCTGAGATTCACACAGTAAAATTAATCGGATTTTCCAGTGGAACGTGGCCACATTGGGAGGTAAGGAGGAGGAGAAAGCTCACGAGGGCACTGTGAGACTTTGAGAGAGACAGCTTGGAAAAAATCCACCGAGGCAGATGGGAGTTTGAGTCATGTTTGACCAAATGCTTCCTTAATCAGGACCAAAGGAGACACAGTGAGGGAAAAAAAAAAACTTTTCAGTTGTCCAAGTTTACATTAAAAACTGCAAAGTAAGGAGTTGTCTGACTCAGCCATTCAATAAATGCCTTGTAACTTAAAGCTGGGGTAGGAACCAATTTTTTGGCATCAATGGGCAAAAATTTCATAATCACCTTTCAGCATATTGTAACTGAAGCGGTCTGAGAGCAAACAAGACGTTTGCAACTCCCCTTGGCTCCGTTTTCAGATTTCAGAAAACCTAGGCCGTGACAGGAGACTTTGGCCAATCACAGGTCTTTTCAGTGTCAATGTGTCAGTATGTGTGAAGCATTTCAGAGACGGAGAGAACTTGTTGTTCTTCACCTGGACAGGTAACGGGCTTCTAACTTCACTTTCCTGTAATATCTAAATGTGTTGCAGTAGTTGGTTGTGTCGGTAGATTCACCATGAAAGCAGGTGATAAGTGGCTATGTTGAATGTTGCTAATAGCTTAGCCCTCTGCTACCAGCTGTGGCTCGGTTGCTTGTGTTTCATGCACGTATGAAGTGTGTGCATATGCTCGTCAGGGGAGAGCTGCAAGAGGGCGGTTGTATTTCAAAACTTTTTTTTCCTTTCTTTTCTAGATTTCTGCCTACCCCAGCTTTAAACTTCAGAAGAAAAAAAAACAAAAAAACAAGCAAGCCCTGGCTGTGTGAACTTCATCACATGCCATTCAGTAGGCTGGATTTCCCAAACACAGCTTATTCTGGCATTAGCGTTCGTTTTAATTTTTTTTTCTCAAGCTGTTTCTCTTTATCTCCCTCCTTTGCTCTGCTGCTTCAATCACATTATGTTATCAAAACACATCCATGGAGGTGGTGCTGCCTTTTTAGAAATCACAATGGGTTTCTTTGTAAAAGCAGAAGAAAATAATTAATCACATTAGACAGTGTTACTGCAGCCAGTGTGTTGATGTGATTAATTAAATAACTGCTCCTCTTCAAAGGAGCCACTCTGTAAAGGACAGTTCTTTAGATTGTGCTGCATTGTCGTTTTTTATGTCCAAAATCCAGAAAACACTGGATTGAAGCAGCACGAGGCAGAAAATGTTTCTTACAAGGTCAAACTAGGAGCAACACAAATAGACCCAATAAACACGACTGTTTTCTTTGCGCTGTCAACAAAACATTGTGAAGGGCTATAACCATTTAATCCTCGTGCAGGCGTAAGCAGCGCTCAATCAATGGTGAGGGAAACAAAGCAATAAAGAGCGGCCTCGGGCCTAACCTTTAAAAGACAACTAAAATCAAATTAATTTACTGATCAAAAGGTCAAAATGTACAAAACTATTAGTCCCGGCCCACCTGCTGTAAAATTACAGGCCTGGAAAGACTTGACAGCGACATGATTGGGGTATTTTTTTCATCTTCCATCTGCAGGGAGTGGACTTTTCCCATTTGAAAGATAATTTGGTGGCGATAGCACATCAAACCAGGCAATCTCTCAGGCTGATAGTTGGGAAATTGAACAGATGAGGAAGCCTTACCCTCATGCATTTTGTATTTGGCCCCTGTTCAACTATTGTGGCCTCAGAGAAAGGCGAGAAAGGAGTTGAGGGGAGGGCGGCGTGGGGGGTGGGGGCGGGGTTAATTTTGGAATGCTTGAGGTGTTGCGAGAGCCCGAGAGCTCTGTCAGATGTAAAACACGGCATGACCCTCCGCTAATGTGAGAGGTTCAACCTTTATGGAGCACAACACATATGGATCTTGTTGTTGCAAACCGCAAACCACCATTTAGCTGTTGATTCTAAAGCAGATTTTCTCAGCTGTGAATTTACAATGTGGCATATTCATCATACACATCAAACATTGAACATAATTACACAATCACTTCAAAGGCATACAATCTTTCATTCATCAAAGTGATTACAGTGTGTTTGCCATATGGACTCATTGTTTTCATGTACCTACCTCTGTTTCGACTGTAAGAGAGAGAGAGAGAGAGAGAGAGAGAGAGAGCTTTCTAGGCTAAGCAAGGAGGATTAATTGCAATGAACAGCACTGAGAAATGATTTCATTTTCTCCGTCTCAAGATGATCATCAACTCCCCAATGCTTGAGGCTGCATTTGACAAATTCACTCACAGCTGTGCTTCCTGAGACAGCATTAGACTTTGAACTGTGGGCAAGAGCTGATGAGTTCACAATGGGTTGGTGATAACCTTAAGACAGAAAAATGAGATCTCCTCTCATGTTGAAGTTCCTTGCAAACTGTCATGTAATCAGCGAAATCAAGGCTCCCAGTACTCACCCCATAGACCAGTTCACCCACCATCCCGTTCCACGTCTTGGTCTCGGGGTCTCGGGCTCCGTACTTCCCATCCATTACTATAGACAGTTTGTACTTAATTCCAACATGTTTGGCAATCTCAGATGCTAAATCGACGCAGTAGCCTTCATATCTGTCATTCCCCTCCAGATGCATATAATTTTTCTTGTACATCACATAAGGAGCTTCCTGTTGATTCAAACACACGCTGGTTTATTCACTCCCATGCCCTAGCACACATTCAGTTATACAGAAATATGCATACATGCACTCATATGTGCCCGTGCACGCGCACACACGCACGCACGCACGCACACACACACACACACACACACACACACACACACACACACACACACACACACACACACACACACACACACACACGCGCGCTCATCCACACCCACACCCACACAAAAAGATTCAACATATTATAAGCTGCTATAACCACACCCATGCAGTCATGCGTACAAAGATGATGCCCTGCGAATGCACAAATATGCACTGATAACAGCAGCATGATCATATGGTCACCCTGCTTTCATCAAGCCGTGGCAGCCAGCAGACACCAAGCCCAATGCACCCAACCCATTTTTAGCCCAAGGGTGCAACTCTGTGGCATAATAAAGGAAGGTTAGAGGAGGGGAGAACAAAGTTTTTCATTTGTGTAGGAGAAAACAGAAGGCCAGAATGAGTTTTAGTAGGGCTGGGAGTCATTGACAGGCAAGGTGTGGGTCAGCTCAGAGGTGGGTGGGGATGGGAATGGGAATGGGTTTCATAAGTAAATGCCAGTGACAGGAGAGGGATCAGAGAGTGCCCATAGTATCTCAACATATTCAAGCACATTGCACCAATGCGCAGTTAAAGGCTGTTTCATTCCAAAAAATAAAAAATAAAATAAAATAAAATGATATAAAATAAATAAATAAATAAAAAACGAGCCGTTATTTGCTATCCAGAAAAATGCAAAAAATACTCCATAAATAAAATAATTACATCAGGAGATCAGGAGCGTGCTAGTTTTCCTCTCCTTTTCAAAACGCTGGTGCAGCTCGTCTTTTCTCTTACTGAGCACATCATCATTATCAAACAATAGGACTGCTCAGGAGAGCAGGCATCGTCATTACAGCCACACACAATTAGAGTGCAAGTAGGAGAGCAATGGTTTGTTTGTTCTGTGCTGAACGTATCCCCTCACCTCGGATTCCACTGAGTGTTTCCCTCCAGTTAACACGTGTTTACCTCCTGACTGTATTTCTCATCCAGAGATGTTAAATGTTTCCGCTTGCTATTGAGTGACACTCCCTTACGCCTTGGAATATAAATGAAATCTAACAGTGGATAAACACCAAAGATCCTTATCGTTTTCCAAACATTTTTCTTTATCATTTTAGCATGTTTGCTTCCGGAGAATCTGGATCTGCATCAGTTAATTATACAGTCAGTAAATACATTTGCAACTAAAAAAACGTTTAGTTGAGTACATACATTTAAAAGTAAATAAATCTATAAGATTTACATGTTTAGCATATTTTGGTCTGGGAAAATGCCCAGAAAAATATCCTTGTCTATAGCGCTGAATGGAAGTTATACTTCAACACAGAACACATGGAGGGGCAATACAAAATAGATTGAAGAGGTGATAACAAGGGAAAATACCGCACCTTCTTATTCCTACTCCAATACTGTTTATTTTGCTTTGCCCAGCTTGAAAAACCATTGCAGTATCGTCCTCTAGTCATTCTTCGGCCAGTCTATCCCAAGTGTCATTGAACATTTACTTGATGAGGACAGACAGGTCTACTTACGTATGCGTTTGTATGCGTTTTATAATTGATGGAGTCAACCATTATCATATATACCATTATTGTGATGTCACTGCTACGACAGGCCACTGAAGTATGGAAAATCAAAATGCTTTGACACCCACACGGATACAGTTGAAACACTCCCCCGTTTCGGATCGACTGTTTCAACATGTAGTGAGTGGATGGAAAGCAACGCAAAAAAGATGTGGTTCTACCCGCCCAGGACAGAATGTATCACTCATTGGAATCAACACCATGACCTTGAGTGGCAGAATACGTGAAACATTTAAAACTGCATGGAAAGTGTACCATAATAGTAGTGACCACAATCGTTCGGTTTTCCACTGAGGAGTCGTTGGAGACCTGCGGGTCCATAATATTTACAAATCGCGTGTACTCGTTCCAGTACCCAATCTGCAAAGAGAAAACAGTGGTTAGTGGTGCATTCCAACTTGCTGACAACACTGATGTCAGTGAACATACAGCAGGCACACTTCAATGCATTGCAGGGAACTGCCATGATGCAGGGGCTCATTAAAGCAACACTGCATTTCCCAGAGGCCTGCTGCTTCTGCGCTAAAGTTTGAGCAACGTAGCAGCAGCCAGTGAGCAGAATACTAAAACGGCAATCCGCTCATGGAATATAGAAAGAGTTTATACTATATTATTCTGCATTCAACAGGCAGTAAGGCCCATGATCAAAGATACTATGAGAATATGCTACGGGTTTTTATGATCGCCAGTTCAAGTAGCCAAACATGCAGGAACGGAGCTGCGTGAGCATTCGGCAGACAACTTCAATCCCTCCTACCTTCAGCTTCTCAGGTTTTATGGTAAATAATTGATATTCAGGCCTATGAACTGCATACATGTTTAATAATTTAGCATAATATCCCAGTGGCTCTTACAGTTTCTTCTACACAGTCTTGCCATTGCAGTTACTCTGTATTCTGCTGTACAGATGCTTAAGTCAAACCAATGTCAAGTGTTTGTTTGCCCATCTGAAATAATGGCTGCTCTGGCTCACGATGAAACGTGTTGCATATGTTGCTGCCAATAGTCTAACTGTTGCTGGCTAGGATTTTCCCCTTCACATCTGGTCCACATTTCTTTTTTCTTTTTTCTTTTTTTTTTTTTTGCCTCAGATCTTTAAATGTTTGGGCCAGACAGGTGTACAACAGTGCAGAGTTTTTAAACACCAAATGGAGGCGCTAGAAAGCAGCAAACTTCTCAAACTTGACTTCCAAACTGTGGTTACAGTTGCGGTTGTAGTTGTTGCACTTGCCAGACAGGAGAAAGCCCCAAATGTTTATTCCCAGCTCTTGTTCGACAGTGATATTTGAGAAACGCTTCTCGGGGGATGAGACTGTGGGGAGCTGTGTCATGGAGTGCCGATCCAGAGGCAAAGTCCTGATCTCACCCTGAGCAGCTGGGACAGATATCAGCCCATACATCACTGGTGACAGTCACAGCTAAGACCCTTCATCCTCTAACTGTCACCGGGGTGACTGGGGGCTCCAGGTCCTGACAAACTGCTGCCCGGCTTGTCTCATCTTCCCTCTCTCCCTCACTCTCTCCCCCTGACCTCCTTTCTCCCACTCGCTCCATCCCTCGCACCGCTCTCTCCTCCTCTGTCTGACTGTGCGGGGATGGCTGTAAGGGCTGTGTGATGCTAATTGAAGTGTGGGAGGCATGCGGCATAATCACATGTCATATCAGACTGAGCCCACACTTATCCAGCTAACGAGAAATTCACAGCTGTCTCTTGGAACCCGGTGAGGTTATGAAATAAAACCAGAGGTCATCATATGGTACCGCTTATAATGTGAATGTACCGCTGGGAATTACCGTTTTGAAGAGGAGCCAGAGGAATTCTTGGATCCCCTTTGCAGTAATTGGTTATTTGAATGGTAATTACTGTCAGGAGAGGACCAAAAATCATTTCTGCACTATCCCACGGCACAGAAATAGTCTTATATCATTCTTTTGATAGGACAGTTTTAGCTATCAGATCGGAGGCTGTGTGTGATTTGTGGGGCTTGTAATGCTTGGCATAGCTCATCAGTGCTGCTACCTAACAGAGGCAGGGAAAGGCAATCAGCATTACTCTACACTGTCCTTTCAGCCCTGCTGGTCCCACATGACTGAAGAAGCCCTCAGTGCTTTAATAAATGGAGGAAGAGGCTTGTCTGAAAATCTTTCCTACTGTCACACAGTCACACACTTCCTTCAAAATGGTTGAAACTGATCGCACGGCATGGTTTTTTGGCACGCCTAAACATGTGGCTAACATTCAAGGAGTTTTGTTCTCGAGCACAGATGATCAATAAATCATTTAATATTACAAGTTGGCCAAATTCCACGGTTTTGACAAGTAATGAACCAAACTTTGATCTGTGCCAGCTGTTAGCTGTGTTTTGATAAAGACTGAAATTTTTGGTTTGTTTTTTTTTTTTTTTAAATCCTGTCTGGATTTGACAGTTGATGGATGAGAGCTGATAGAGGTCACCGCTCCGTCTTACCTTCCTCGGCCCACCTGTTTTCATCTCATAAACATCTATAGTGTAGTTGGTCCTGCGGCCGTAGTTGTCAAACTGGATGTTCCCGGTCATACCCTGCACTTGGACCTGCCATGAGGGACAGACAGACACAGGGGGATGTGTAATAGCCATCACTTTGCATATATAGCTGGTATTAAGGTGCTCGTGTCCATGGAGCAACTGGAGTGTGCACAGCCTGTTAATCAAATGATGAACTGGATACGCTTTAATAAAAGATGTAGTTTTATGGTAATGAGGGCCTGGATTTGAGTGAGCTCTGTGCAGAGATATCTGGAGGCAGAGGGAGGAGAACAGCTCTGCGCTCTCTTCCCTTCTCTCTGTCACTTTCCATCTTTATCACAGTCTCAGTCCCTATCTCTGCCTTACTTCTTCTAGCCTTTTCTTTAGTTATCTGCTTGCCACTCTCTCCCTCTCTTTTTTCCCCCTTCTCCCTCCCTACCGTTTTGAGAGCTCTCTCGATGTCGATGCCTTGGCTCCAAGGAACAGCGGGATTGGCTAGACAGTCTCCAGCGCTGCCCCGGCGAGACACATCCACACGTTGGCGCCGCAGGTACCTGAAGGCCTCTGCTATCACCAGGATGGCATCGTGGGTCAGAGCTGAAGTGTACTGTACAAAACCAAAAAAAAAAACAAACAAAAAAACAGCAGAACACAGGAAAACATGGTGGGAGGCAGAAGATAAGATTACTATTTCTGTAGTGAAGCCTTTACAGGTAAATATATAACTTTATACTGTCCAGTGACTACGTAATGCTCTGTAAGACTAAACATAAGTAGTTTAAACCACTATGGATGGAGTGTTTATATGAATACATCATCTTTTCAAATGAATCTGTTCACAGCAGTGTTTGTTTGCAGTAAAAACAACCGCAGAGAAAATTGGGGCAGCCTATTATGTCGCTTTTAGCCCATGCATCTCAGTGCCACCAGGTCAGATCAGTGTGGGTGGGTTGGGTGTAAACTCTCATTCCCGGCTTATGATAAAAATAGTTTGATCAGACAGATCTGATAAGAAAAGCCAGGATGAGTCTGATGGATCATGGACCGCTTTCAAAACTTTTAGTGCAGAGTTGGAGAGAGACAAGAGCATTAATGTGTGATTTTATCTCCCACGCACTTCCCCTCCAACTTCACATGACCTTTTCACCACTGTGGGTTGAGCCACTTGTTTGTTGACCACTGCACCATGACAAAATCTAATTAAATGCCATTCAAAATCAATTTCTTTCTTGATCATTGTTTAATTAGATGTAAATTGAAGCTGCGATATAACCTTGCCTTGCACCGCCTATCAATATATCGATCGCTGGGAGGGATGCAAAGCAAAGAGGAGGAAGCGAGGGGCGGGAGGAAGACAGAATGACAAAGGCAAACAGAGGATGAGAGGTGGAGAGGAACCGATAGAGAGCACTTCAGATGGGATGATCGTTGTATTCTGCATGCGCAATGAAAGGCCTTGTAAGGGAAGTACCTTCAGAGGAGTGTTTCGGGCTTCTGGGAATTCTCTTTCATCTAGCCGCTCCCAGCGCTGCATAAACTGCTGCACAATCGGGTTCTCAGGGTTGACTATCTGAAACCCTGAAATGTTGGCTCCACCGGCGAAGACTTTGTCCAGGCTCACATTAGAGAATCCCTGAGAGGAGAGCAAGAGAAGGGAGGAAGGAAAAGAGTCATCCACCTTGTTTTTCTTGGAGGGTTTTTTTTTCTTTTTTCTTTTTTTCCTTTTTTTTTTTTAATATAGCCTGTGGCAGAGGCACCACAAAATATTAGCAGCTATTCTGGCAGTGTGCTAGGTGCATTTTATTATGAACTCTGTGCTGTATGAGAAAGCGACATGTGTTTGCCATTAGACTGAGGCAAATGTTTCCCTTCACGCTTTGTGGTGCAACCTGAATTCATTTACAGATAAACAACCTGCAAGTAGATACGTTACAGTTTGTTTCAGATCATGTAGAAGACAAAATATTTCACTTGAACCAGCTAACCTACTTTCATTCAGAAAGCTTTGCCATGGCAAAAAAAACAAAAAACCAAAAAAAACCAAAACATTTTCTAATGCATTTCAAAACCTCTGCTACTCCAGCTGCTTTTAAATTTCCTTTTTCACCTCAGAGCCATGACATGAAGTTTCTTTTTATGGTCAAATTGCTTTTTTTTAAGTTTAGGATTGTGTCATGGCGTGCTAGGACATGTGTCTGGCTGCTGCATAATCACATCTTCTAACGTCAGGGAAACACCAGCAGGGGATCTGCAAGTGGGAGCAGGGCAGGCCTCCACTTTAAAACTTTCATCCTAATATCAAGGCAAAATGAACATTTCCTACCCCAGAGTGGGGGTGGAAAGATGGCTGCCCTTCAAAGATAGTTTAAAAGGTTAAATGCTGGGAGATGATCTTATACTTAAGTATATTCATTTAAGCAAATGTTGTCCGACTGCCAGATTGTAATTGATAAGAGCATGAGCAACAAATATAATAAGCCATATATATATATATATATATATATACACAGAGAAAAAACAAAACATACTCTATATTGTCTTTTTTTTTAATTTCATACAAAAGCCTATAATCCACTTATTGTGCATGCACATTTGCGCCCATGGCTGAGACTAAGCCCTATCACATGCAGCAAAAAGCAGGTTCCACTCCCTCCCCGGGGAGCGGCTCGGTTATTACTCACAAGATTGGCCAGAATGTAGTGGTAACCACGGCTGTTCTTCCCCAGGGTCACAACCTATGGGAGAAAAACATCAATACAGTAAACCACCCATGAGATGAGAGCCAAGAGCCATGGCTCGTATAAGTGGCTACAACAATCTCAGTAAACGCGAGCACGCAGGATGCCACTGAAGTTGAAACAAAGCAACGTCGCCTGTGGAGTAACGAGAGAGAGAGAGAGAGAGAGTAGTTAGCGGAGGCGTTCGTTAAGGAGGAGCTGATAATAAGAGAGAAACAGGAAGAATGAGGAACATCCTTGGATATTCTCCTCACTTTGAAGTCACTCACGGTGCAGGGATGCGAGTCCTTAGCAACTGCTGGACAGAAGGTAGAAATAGGAAAAAATATTTCAAAGGAATTTACAGTGAGACAGTACGATGTAGATCTTGCTCTGCTTTGAAAATATCACACCTTTGGAGCATAACAGCATGTTTCAACCCACGCAGCCTGTCTGAAAATAGTAAGTGGTGTTCTAAGCCATTCCATCACTGTGGTACTAACCATATGTTGCCTTTTATTCTCAAGTTTATTCTTCCTTTTGTTCAGGGCCTGCAGATAAATTCAATCATGAAACTCTAAATTGTCCTGGCTTTTTTTTTTTTTTTTCTTTTGGGCATTACATGCTGGACATGGTTTTGGACTGGGCCTCATGAGGTCTGTTATTTATGAGTTTTTGGAGTCTGTTGCGGATGGACTTCTGAGTGGCTGCCATGCAGAAACCTGTCAACCATGTCTCAGTTTTCATCAGCGTACTACAAACACAGCGACACAAGTTTACAGCAAAATCAGCATGTTTGCACATGTTCTGGCTCCGTCACAAAAACAAACTGTCAGTTCATCATCTGTTTGTGTGTGCATGTTAGGCCGGGGACGTTGGATATTTGTTACTGTGGATCGTTTACAACATTCCCGCTGAGTAGGAGAGAGTGATGAAAAGCAAACTTGTATCTTCACATCTCAGGCAGCAAAAAGAAAAAAAAAAAAAGAAAAAAAAAGTCTCTGAAGGACGTTTTCAGTTTCACCGTTTCATCGTCTAAAATGACAGCATTTCACTTAGCTATTCTGAACTTTAACTGACCCGAGCAGACTCCTATACAGTAGCAAAAAACAATAAAACAATCATCCTTGCTTGGACTGACTACCCTTCCAAATTAAATAAACCACTTGTCTCCTTGTTTTGTGGACACCTGAAGGTTGTCCACGAAGGGGAGAGAAGTTGGTGGTGTTTTTCAAAAAGAGCACTCAAGGGAGCACAAAGCCTTTCACTCATGCTATCAAGCTGCTTGGGTGGGTCAGCCTCCTCCTACAGCTTCCCCATCATTAAAGGTTTAAACTTCCAGCACTGCAGGATGTCAGACAGAGGGGAACAAACCAAGAAAGTGAAATAGAAACAAAAGGAAAATGAGCTGATTATAATGCAGAAATAGCAGGAGTTGGCTTTTTAGAATCCATCAATCTGCGTCTAATGAGCAAGTGACAGAAAGCTCCATGAAAAGAAATCTCTGCAACATTTCTACTGCATTGATAAGAGAGCTGGACAGATCATGGCTGCTTCCTCTGTAATTGTTCACAGGTCTGACTTTCAGACGTTTAGCCCTGCTGCGTTTTCTTGGACAAACCCCACAGCTACACACTCCCTCACCGTGCGCTAACCTTGACTCTGGCTGTAAGCCCTCCTCCTCACACCTGCGCTGGAACTAGGCAGAGAAAGGTCTTACCCCCCACCTGCAGCCCGCAGCTCACAGCCAGCCTGGCAACCGCTACAAGCAGCAACCTTGGGATGGAGCACAGCAAGACACTGATGACACATCACATACACAGAACCTCCGGCCAGACCACACCAACCTCTCCCCTCAACCCCTTTAATTAGGCAGACGGCAAGATCCGACTCCAGTTGAGACTGACAGATTTTATTATTACTAGTTGTGATGCACCGCTGACTGGCCTGTCCGTAAAACCCTCAGACACAGCAGATGGTGATAACTATCCCTTAATAGTGTTGATAAGACATGATTGTCTTGTATTTCCTTTTAAATCCAATATTATTTGTGCAATACAACAGATTAGACACAGGAAAATAAATTCAAGCTTAATTGTGGATAAGCAGCTGGTAAAAGCGCTGTTAAGTTACAGACCTTTAGTTCTGGGAAATACACTAATTTGCTTTCTTTTCAAGATTAAAATACTGTAAGAACATCGATGCTAATCACAGCTGTAGTTGGGACGTGATTAGCTTAGCATTGCATAATGACTGGGAATGGGGAAACAGCTAGTTTGGTTCTGTTCATAGTCCAAAAATACACCGACCTACAAACACATAAAGCTCACTGATTAACACATGGTGTCTTCTTTATTTACACACAAAGATAAATATCAACATTAAGGCTCGATGTTTCCCTCCAGTAAGACGAAAAGATAGCTGCCCTGCAATATTATTCATTTGTGTAGGACATTCATTTATACTTAAATATGAATATATTAATTTAAGCAACTAATCAATGTAGTCTCACTGCCAGATACTACACTTGCACTTGCACTTGTACATTTGCATATACATTATATATACACATGTGGTCAGCTGCATCCTGTTTGCTTTCATTATCCTTGAGATGTGTGCAGAACTTGACTGGAGTTGTTCTGTGGTAAACAAAATTAATTGGACCTATTTCAAAGAGACACACACGTGTGTATATAACGCCGCTCAATTCACACCGCGACGCAGGAGAAAAACCAAGTCATGAAGTGCAAGGAGCTCTGTGAACCTCCACAATAAAACTGTGGTGAGACACAGATCAGAGCAAGGGTATAAAACGATTTCTAAAGCTTTGACTGTCCCAGCAGCACAGTGGCCTCAATAATTGTGAAATGGAAAAAGTTTGGAAACATCAGGACTCTTCACTCTAACAGAGCTTCAGAAGTCCTCTGCAGAGACGGGAGAACCTGCCAGAAGGACAACCATCTCAGCAGCACTCCATCTATCAGGCCCTTGTTGTAGAGTGGCTGGACACAATCCGCTTCTAGTAAAAAGGCATAAGACAGCCAGTTCGGTGTTTGCCAAATGGTATTTAGAGGACTCAGAGCGCAAGGAAAGAGATTATCTGATCTGATGAGAAACAAATCACAACAGATGCACAACTCCAAACATGATGTCTGACGAACATCAGGCACTGTTCATCACCTGGCAAATAGCGTCTCTATGGTGAAGCCTGGTGGTGGCAGCATCACGCTATGGGGCTGTTTCTCGGCAGCAGGGACAAGGAGACTGGTCAGAGCTGAGGGAACGGTGAATTCAGCCAAATACAGAGAGGTCCTTGAAGAAAACCTGCTCCATTGTGCATGCAACCTGAGACAGGAGCGGTTAACCTTCCAGCATGACAATGACCCAAAGTATACAGCCAAGACAACACTGGAGTGGTTTTGGGACAAGTCTCTGATTCTCTTTCAGTAGCCCAACCAAAGCCCAGACTTATACCCCATAAGCATTTGTGGAGAGACATGAGAGGGTAATTCACAGACGCTTCCCATCCAATCTGAAGGAGCTTGAGAGGATCTGCCTGGAAGAATGGGATAAACTGCTAAAATCCAGGTGTGCAGAGCTTGTAGAGACTTACCCAAGAAGACTCGAGCCTGTAATTGCTGCCAAAGGGGCTTCTACAAAGCACTGTAAAGGGTCTGAATAGTTTTTTTGTTAATGATAGATTTCGGTGTCTGACCTTTAATAAATTTGTAACATTTTTTTGTCATTATGGATTATTGAGTGTAGATTTATAGGCTAAAATGGCAATTTTATCCATTTATAATTATCTACAACACAATAAAGTGTACAAAAAGTGAGCCACTGTACATACAAACACCAGCCCACCAACCAATTCTTTCTTTTCCACAGTGACACCCAAAAGAAGAAATGTGTTAAGTGTGTCTACACCTTCAATAATGTGATTCCTCTTTTTCATACAGTGTGCCCTCCTGCAAATCGATCCACTAGCTGGCTCCACCGCCTTTTGTTCTGCTGCTTAAGGAGAGCCTGTGTTTTGCAGACTGGGGTTTTCTTTAACGCCTGATGGGGACAGACAACCGGGATGACCTTGACTTCACCCTCATCCAGACTCGCCTCGCTTCGCCCTCACCAGACAGAGAGCTTTAAATGTAAAACTACAGCTACACATTTCCAATAAACGCCAGACCATTTTCCTCCGAGTCTGACCTTTTTACTGTGGAGTTTGCCACAGCACAGGAAGAGGCAGACTGAAAATGATAGATTCCCCAGGGTTTGTAAATATCATTCACCGAGGCATATAAAAGAGCAAAAAATGATGCAATTATTTTTAGCATCTCCCTGAACTATGAAAACTTAAAACACACAAACTCTTAACTAAACTGGTAAGGTGCAGTGTTGACATTAGGGCTGCATGTAACAGCTATTCTCATTACTGAATAATGAGTCGACTGTATTTGTGATTAACTGATTAATAGTTAAATCTATAAAATATCAAAAAATGTACTTCATAATTTTCCAGTGTCTGACTGTTTTGCTTCTATTTCTATCACATTTCTTCTTGTGAAGTTAGCATGCTAACCTGCTAACCCCAGACGATCTCATCACTTTGTAGTGAATCACTGTAACGACCCATCCGTCCTGAGGAGGCAGCGCTGCTCAGAGGGCGTACTATAACCTCTTGTCTAGTAAATACAACAATGGCTGAAGCTGTGGCCAACACTGGTTGCTGTTAATGCTAACGTTAGCTATGTAGCAATAGCAAAACTTACAAATAGCTCCTTTAAAAATGGGCTGTCTGAAGCAATGGGGCACTCTGGCTCAAAACGTTTGAGCCAAACATATAAATCATTATTAATCAGGATATGAATAACAAGCTATATGAACCGCTACATATAATTTCATGATAACAAGTGTTATCACCAGTAGATCAGTAGCAGTGAAGTGCTGCACTTCACTCAGGATTGGACACAAGGGTGAATTTGACCTCTACAAGCTTTGATACAGGAGGACTTTCCTCT